TATATATATATATGTATTTATAATTTATTTCAACTCAGTTCAAAGGTCAAAGTCAAACCCCCATCCAGATACTTTGAGGTCAGTGCAAGGAGAGAGACGCCAGATCGTCTCAGAGTGACCTTCCTGACGGCTGGAAAACTCACACATTTTATTTATTGTATTCATATCATGTTTCTTTTTTTTAAATTGGCTCAAATTATTTTACAGCTGTTATTAATAGTTTAATTATCCCCTATTTCAGTAGACAGATCCCATTTAATCATTCAGTTAATGTTAATATGCTGTAGTAAGAATAAATATATTTCCATAACATTTTCCTCTCAATCGTTTCTGAAAATGTGTAACTCAGGTTCCCATTTAAAGGAGGTTTGTGACAGATACAAATATATATTCTTGACACTGATATGATATTTGACATTTAAATATAATTCTGTAGTTGGGTTATTCTGAAACATGCACCACTGAATATTTATGAGACATCGTTCATTCCTTACTAAACATGATGGATAATCTGGGATTCTGATGTGACCTTGTAGATTACATGGAATCATCAACTCTTAAAAAAAAATTAGATCCAACTGAGACATTAACAGAGGATTGTAGAAGTTTAAGAGAGACAATGCAAAGAGAAACAGCCAAGGATCCCTCCATGTCTGCTCCAACTATGAGAGATTTTCTAGGAATGAAATTGCCAAGCTGTTATATTTCAAAGTGGTGCTTTTTCATCACTGAATAAATGCTCTCAAATTAAGGCTTGGATCTTTCTTCAAAAGTTTCAGATGTTAGAAGAAAATATTCTACAGCTTTTTATGCAGAGGGCAACCGTTTATCTGCATCTGTCAGAGAGGCCTTGAAATTCATGAAAAAATCTGCAATATATACATATATATAAATATATAGAGATATATTTGTTTATGAAACTCATTTCTTAAAGACAGAAGCATCATATTCATAGTGCATCAAATAAAAAAACAGAAACATGATGGGGTGAGCTAACACACACAGACAGATCGCTGCTAAACATTATCCAAGGAGGCTGTCCATAAACACTCTTCTACTTAAAGTAGGAAGGGAGGTGGGAAGCAGCTTCATTATACTCCAAGAAAGGCTTTTGTCTTCGACAAGCCCACAATTTGCTCAGCTGTTTTCCCTAGTTGTGGTTCTTTTTGTGCTGCATATTTGAATAAACATTTCAAGGCTTTCCTCAGCGCCCCACGCTGATGTTGCACACTTTGCAGCTTGGATCTTTCTTGGCATTGGCTGTGGTCAAGCTCATGAGCTGGTGGTGGCCAGTGATCTGCTCCACGCTTCCCTGATTCAAATCAACCGGCTCTGTAAAAAGCACCTCCAGGATCACATCACTGGCGTGGCAGAACACAGGCTCCTCCCCCTGCCTCTGGGGGGGAGTATAGGTCAGAAAGGGGTTGGAGGCCAAGTCCAGCCTTGGGAGGCGGGTGCGACAGAAGTCGTCTCCCTCTGTGCCAACGGGTGCAAGCACCAGCACCACATAGTGATATGCTGTGTACATGCAGTAAAAGTCTGCAAAGTACAGGCAGATGTTTGGGTTCAGCAGATGTCCGGCAGGAATCTGAAATCGGAGGGGGCCGTATGGAGAGTCTTTGGGAGGAAGCCCCGTGTCAAACTCCGTATTGCAGCTGAAGAAGACTCCGTGGAGTTTGCCGTTGATTGGAGAGCCATGGCTCCCGCTGCTATCTTTAAGTGCTGGACGCATCAATCCTCCACATTCCCTCCTAATTAAGGATATAGAAATAAAATTAGTATTTTATTTAACTGGGGAAGCAATCAAATCAAAGACATGGAGAACAGCTCCTACCTGACATAGTCAAAGTATTCGGGATGTTGATTGCGATAGAATACAGAGAATCTCAGCAATCGTCCAGCAGAACCGTTGGCCTTGTCAAGAAGCTGCTGAAGATGTTCCATGGCATAATCTGCAAACATTTATAGAAAGAAACTCAGATCTGCTTTACCTATTGTCAAAAACACATCGTATCTCTATAGCTTGTTTGTTTGATGTGAAGCACTGCAGCCAGAGTAGTGAGTTCAAATCAAGATCTTTGCAGAGTTCACGCTGCAAAACCAAGTGGCAAAACCAGCCCAATGCATCCTGACTCACAGTATCCAAATTCACAATTTGAAAAGCTCAAAGCTCCTCTTTGATCTCATCCAGATCTTCTCTGCTCCCCTCAGTTCCCAGCTTCATACTGAGGGTGGATAATCCTTGTAAACATTCCCCAAATCTAAAGCCTTCTCGCCCTTAAAACACCCACCTGCAGGGGCCTGACACTGATGAGAAAAAAAAATCCTACATCAAATTAAATTCCTTCTAAACACATCCTATACGTACGTAGTTAAAAATATAAGTCTTTCAATAACTAAGTGTGCTAATATGTCTGCATAAGGTTAAATGAGTTCACATGCTGGAAATACCCAGACTACCCTGAAAATATTCACACTGCTTTTTTAAAATTTTGTCAGGTTCCAACAACTAATTTAATTTAATTTTGGTTTGAATATAAAAAAAATAATAATACTTTTCAAAGATTTTCAATTTCCACATCTGGAAAGTTGTTTAATGCGATGGACTGGCGACCTGTCCAGGGTGTACCCCACCTCTCTTAGACAGCTGGAGATAGGCACCAGCACCTCTTGCAACCCCGGTTTGGGTTAACTGTGATGGAAAATGGATGGAAAGCTGTTATACAGATATACTGGAATATACTCGGATAAAAGGTTTGGAGCTCTTCATTCAATCATTAAAACAGGTTTTAGAAATCGTCTGCACTGGTCTAATCCATGCTATCCTAATCATTGTTTGTAATGTGTCAGAATTTTCCAACAAAGCTTCAGTTTTATTTACACATTTTCTTTATCTTAAATTGTTCCTTGCATCTTGTTTTTTTGTGTTATTGTATGAGATGATGAGCCTTACCTCCAGTGCAGAACTCCACCACCGGGCTCCACTCTGACACCAAGTAGTCACCGTCCGGCTGCCTGACGGCTGTTTGAACAGCAACACAGTAGTCTGTCCGTGGGCTGAGGAACCAGTGTCCTCTCACTGCCATGGGGAGAGGAACAGCCTTAGCCACCAGCTTGGTTGGGACATCCTGAAAATCCAGTAATAAGGGTTTGTCAGGAGCAAAATATGAATAATAGCTGGAATTGTTAAATGAAAGTTCCCTTATTAGGGTTGTGTTTCATCTGAAGCCATGGCAAATGTGACTAGGATACATCTAATCAAATCAGCAGCTATGATTTGGCCGAGGCTTCTAAGCAGCACAGCTAATTACCGGCTTAGTGGTCTACATATCCATGGAAACATCTCTGATGCAAAAGTTTGTTTTTGCCACTTTGGCAACAGCTGTGTGAAAGGGAAGAT